CCCAGGATTCAGTCCCTTGTCTTGTAGGCATTTAAGGAGTCAGTGGATAGGAACTTTATTTCTCTCTCTCTGTCTCTCTCTTTGCTTCTCAAGTAAAGTTTTTAAAACTTTAAGTCTGGGGACCAGTGTTGTGGTGTAGTGGATAAAGCTACTGCCTGGGACACCGGCATCCCATACAGGCGCCAGTTCATGTCCTGATTGCTCCACTTCCGATTCAGCTTCCTGCTAATGGCCTGGGAAAAGCAGCAGGAGACGGCTCAGGTACTTGGGCCCTTCCAGCCACATATGAGACCCGGGTGAAGCTCTTGGCTCCTGGCTTTGACCTGGCCCAGCCCTGGTTGTTGCAACCATCTGGAAGAGTTAACCAGAAGATGGAAGATCTCTGTCTCTCCCTCTGTCTCTGTAACTCTTTCAAATAAATAAATCTTTAAAAAAATTTTTAAGTAGGACCTTGAAAAGATATTTGCACACTCATGTTGACTGTAGCATTATTCATAATAGCCAAGCAGTGGAAACAACCCAATTACTCACTGATAGATGAATGGATAAACAGAACATGGCATAGATATACAACAGAATGTTGTTCAGCCTAAAAGAAAGAAATTCTGTCACATGCTACAACATGGATGAACCGCAAGGAAATGCTGAGTAAAATAAGCCAAAGACAAGAGTACAGATACCATATGATTCCACCTTATGAAATATCTAAAGCGGTCAAAATCAGAAACAGAAAGTAGAAAGCTGGCCGGCAAATGCTAGAGTAGTGATAATTAGTGTTCAGTTTCTGTTTTGCAAGATGAAAAAGCTCTATAGATGTGTTGTACAACAACGTGAATATCCTCAGAATTATTGAATTGCACATTTAAAAATTAAGATGATAAAAGGTTGAGTGTTTTTTACAATAAAAAATAAGTGTACAAAAGATTCTCACAAAACAAAGAATCCAAGAAAAAATTGGACAAAATATTTGAACTGACACTTCCTCAAGAAAGATAAATGAGAGGCCAGCACTGTGGTGCAACTGATCAAGCCGCCACTTGCAACCCTGGCATCCCATGTCATCCTGTGACCATTGAGGAATAATCTAGCAGATGGCAGATCTCTCTCTGTGTGTCTCTCCTTCTTTCTCTGTCATTCTGCCTTTCAAATAAATAAAATAAATCCTTTTTTTTAAAGAAAGATAAGTGAGTAGCAAATAAGCACATAAAAAATGCTTGGGGTGGAGACTGTGGCACAAAAAGTTAAGCTGCCATTTTGGATGCCAGCATCCCATCCATACTGGAGTCTGGCTACTCAGCACTTCCAATTCAGTTTCCTGTTAATGCACCTGGGAGGCACAAATGCTTGGGCCCCTGCCACCCACGTGGGAGACCCGCGTAGAGCTCCTGGCTCTTAGCTTCAGCCTGGTTCAGCCCTGGCTATTTTGGGTATTTGGGGAGTGAATCAGCAGATGGAAGATTCCCTCTCTCTTGCTCTCACTCTCACTGTGCCTTTCAAATAAATAAAAAGATGCTCAATGTTATTAATTATTAAATAAATGCAAATGTGGGGCTGGTGTTGTGCTGTAGTGGGTAAAGCTTCTGCCCACATCACCGGCATCCCATACGGGTGCCAGTTCAAGTCTCGGCTGCTCTGCTCCAGATCCAGCTCCCTGCTTATGGCCTAGGAAAAGTAGGCCTCATGGGAGGCCTAGATGAAGCTCCTAGCTTCAGCCTGGCCCAGTGCTGGCCGTTATGGGAGTGAACCAGCAGATGGGTGATCTCTTTTTCTTTGTCTCTCCCTCTCGCTGACTTTCAAATAAATAAATAAATCTTTAAAAATAAATAAATGCAAATGTAAACCACAATGATATACCAATATACATATATAAAAATGATAAAAAACCATCTGGCTATTCCAAATCTTGGCCAAGATTTGGAGAAAATGGAACTCCCACAATCTGTTGGCATGAATGTAAAATGTTGTACCATGTAGGAAAGGGTTAACATGACAAGTCTATCCTTAAAAAGGCTATATATATATATATATATATATATATATATATATAAGTTTAGCCCTTGGATGGAATCTAGGAACTTAGCTGGAAAACAGTTCCCTACATCACTTTAAAACTTTCCCTACAGGTGGGTGTTTGGCTCAGCTGTTAAGCTGCTGCTTAAACTGCCAGCATTCAGTATCAGAGTGCCCAGGTTCAAATTTGGATCTGCTCTCCATTTCAGTTTCCTGCTAACATGCACCTTGGGAGGCAGCAGATGATGGTTCAAGTACTTGGGTCCCCTGCCAACTACACAGGAGACCTAGATGGAGCTCCTGACTTCTGGATTCTTCCTGGTCCAGCCGTGGCTGTTGTAGGCACTTGGGAAATGAAGCAGTGGATGGGAGCGCTCTCTCTGTTTTTTTCTCTGCCTTTCACATAAAATTAATACATAAACAAAATTTTTTAATGAAATAGAACTTTTTCCTGACTGATAAAGGTGGCTCACTGTGTCAAAACTGTTTGTACAAATGATAAGCTAAGATTTATGTTCAATGCCTGCTTTCCTTCTGGAAGTCTGGAATGTTAGTACGTGCTAGGCAGAGAGTGTCTATGTAGCCAGTGTCTGATAAAAACCCTTGGGCTCTGAGTCTCCAGTGGGCTCACTTGGACAGGAATGTTGCATACACATTGCTGCACATTTTGCTAGAGACATAATGTGCTGTGTAGATTACTCACTGGAGTGAGAAAGCCTGAGGAAGGCTACATAAAAATTTCTTCAGACTTGGTCTGTGTCTTTGCCAAAATGATCATGCTAAACATCTTTACTGTATCACCAGAATGAAATTTAGCCATGAGTAAAACTATATCTTGAGCATACTTCTAGTGGGGAGTCTTGGGACCCATTAAATAAACAGTTCTGGTACTTTTGAGTGCACCATAGCATATGACGCTATCATTCCACTCTGAGATGTTTACTCAAGAAAAATGAAAATTATATCCAACACTTGTACACAAATGTTCACAGCAACATTTTAATAGCCCCAAATGTAGATAATACACAAGCCCATCAGATGGTTAATGCATAACAAAAACCATGGAATACTACTCAGAAATAAAACTGAATGATTAAATTTTTTTTAGATTTATTTTATTTATTTGAAAGACAGAGTTACAGAGAGAGAGACAGAAAGAGAGGTCTTCCATCCACTGGTTCACTCCCCAGATGGTTGCACCGGCCAGAGCTGTGCCAATCTGAAACCAGGAGCCAGGAGCTTCTTATGGATCTCCCACATGGGTTCAGGGGCCCAAGGACTTGGGCCATCTTCTACTGCTTTCCCAGGCCACAGCAGAGAGCTGGATCAGAAAACAGCAGCCAGAACTAGAACTGGCGCCCATATGGGATGCCAGCGCTTCAGGTTAGGGCTTTAACCCACTGCGCCACAGTGCCGGCCCCAAAACTGAATGATTATAAAGCATCAAAAAAACCCTCTTTTTGGGGGGCTGGCTCTTTGGCATACCAGATAAAGCTGCTGCCTGCAATGCCGGCATCCCATATGAGTGCCGGTTCGAGACCTGGCTGCTCCACTTCTGATCTTGCTCTCTGCTATGGCCTGGGAAAGCAGTAGAAGATGGCCCAAGTCCTTGGGCCCCTGCACCCATGTGGGAGACCCGGAAGAAGCTCCTGGCTCCTGATCGGCCCAGCTCCAGACGTTGTGGCCATTTGGAGAGTGAACCAGTGGATGGAAGATATCTCTCTCTCTCTCTCTCTCTCTCTGCCTCTGCCTCTCTATATCTCTGCCTTTCAAATAAATAAATAAATAAATAAATCTTTTTAAAAAATTTTGGGATGGTGGGTATGTTTATATGTTGTTTATTTTTATTATTATTTTTACTTTTATTAGGCCCCCCTCCCTGACTTTCCATTATATTTGAAAGGCAGAGACACAGAGAAATCTTCCATCCTCTGGTTCACTCCCCAAATGCACACAATAAGCTGGGCTGGGCCAAGCTAAAGTGAGGAGCCTGGAACTCCATCCAGGTCTCCCACATGGGTGGCAGGGACCCAAGTACTTGAGCCCGCAGCTTCCCAATGTGAGCATTATCAGGAAGCTGGACTGAAGTGGAGGAGCAAGAATTCAAATCAATATGAGATGCAGGTGTCACAAGCAAAAATTTAAATGCTTCACTAAACACCTGTTCTCTATTATCTTGAGTGTAGTGATGCTTTCATGGTTGTATCATTTGTCAAAACTTACATTGTACATTTTACTTCTTAAAATCTTATTTATTTGAAAGGCAGAGCATGAGAGCGAGAGAGAGGGGTCTTCCATCTGTTGGTTCACTCCCCAAATGGCTACAACAGCCAGGGCTTGTCCAGACTAAAGCTAGGACCCAGGAACTCCACCTGGGTCTCACACATGGGTGGCAGGGGCACAAGTATATGGGCCATTTCCCACTGCTTTCCCAGGTTCATTAGCAGGAAGCTGGATCAGAAACAGAGCAGCTGCGACTCGAATTGGCGTACCCATATGGAATGCCAGTGTCTTGGGGTGATTTAACCCACTGTATCACAATACCAATCCCCATTGTACATTTTAAGCATGGTTATTTTATTGTATATAGTTTATGGCTATTCTATCTTCTCTATAATTAATCATTTTTAAAAGTACATAGCTTTTTAAAAAAAGATTTTATTTATTTCAGAGGTAGAGACAGAAAGGTCTTCCATCCGCTGGTTCACTCCCCAAAGGGCTGCAACAGCCAGAGCTGGGCTGATCCGAAGCCAGGAGCCAGGAGCTTTTTCGAGGTCACCCAAGTGGGTGCAGGGGCCCAAGCACTTGGGCTATCTTCTAATGCCAAAACAGTGAGCTGGATTGGAAGAGGAGCAGCCAGGACTCCAACCAGTGCCCATATGAGATGCTGGCGCCACAGGCGGAGGCTTAACCTATTGTGCTACAGCGCTGGCCCCAGTACATAGCTTTTGTCTAATCAATTCCTCTTCTTGGATATAGATGAACATATATAAACATACAAAAATGTTTATTTATGAGTATGTCCAAGGATACTTATCACATCACTATTTCAATAAGAGGAAAACTGGAAATAGATGTCCATCAAGTAATCTGCAAAATAGAAATAGGGTATATATACTCTTTTAAAACAGTAAGTTTTAAAAACCAATTAAGAAAAAGACAAATCACTCAATGAAAGGGGAAAATTTGACAGGAAACTCATAGAAAATGATCTAAATGGTCAATTAGCATATATAAAACATTCAGCTTCACTTGTAAACAAATGCCAATTAAAGCAACATGAAGCAAAATTGTCCAAATAGCAAAGATAAAAGGTTTGATAAAGCTCCCACTATTGATGAATGAATAGATAAGCAAGCACTCTTATATAAAGCTGATTCCATAAAGGAAAAGATTGATAAATGGAACATTAAAATCACAAACTGCTTATTCAGAAGGAGCAGTTAAAACTATGAAAAGGCAACTCACTGAGTAGGAAAACATAGTCACAACAAATATACTTGACATAGCATTCATAACCAGAATATATAAATAGTCCTTACAAATCTATATTAAAAGATGGAGAATTCAATAGAAAAATAGGCAAAGGAACTGAAAATAGGGGCTGGCATTCTGGTGCAGCAGGTTAAGCTGCCACCTACAACACTGGCATCCCCTATCTTCCAGCTATTCCATTTTTGATCCAGCTCCCTGCAGATGCATCTGGGAAAGCAATGGAATATGACCCAAGTAGTTGGGCCCCTATCACCTATGTGTGAGATCCAGGTGGAGTTCCAGAATCCTGGTTCTGGCCTAGCCCCGAGCTGGCTTTTGAGGCTATTTAGCGCATGGAAGATCTCTGTCTCTCTGTATCTCCTGCCTTTCAAATAAATAAATCATTAAAAAACTTAAAAAATAATTACCCAAATAGTTCTATAAACACTAAAGAAATTGAATTTGTAATTTTAAATCTCCCCAAAAGGATAGATCATGCACACACACAAAAAAAGCCTAGAGTCTCTAGAAATTTTTCTCAAACATGCAAAGAAGTATAATCAGCAATTTTACACAATCCCTTCCAGAAAATGTAAAAATAGGAAATACTTTCCAGCTGAGTTTATGAGGCCACTATTACCTTAATATCAGAACCAGACAGCTCAGAAAAAGAAAACTATATACCAATACCCCTTTTGAATGTAGATGTAAAACTCTGCAACATGGGGCAGGCATTGTGGCGCAGTGGGGTAAGCCATCGCTTGGGACACCCACATCCTGTATCAAGAGTGCTGGTTTGAGTACTGGCTACTACTCCACTTCTGATCCAGCTCCTTGCCAATACACTTGGGAAGCAGATGGTGATTCATGTACTGGAGTTCCTACCACCCACATGGGAGATCCCAATGGAGTTCCAACCAGCCTAGTTGTTGACTGTTTGGGGAGTCAACTTAGGGATGGAAGACCTCTGTTTATTTCTCTGCCACTTTGTTTTAAGATTTATTTAAGGCAGAGTTACAGAGAAAGAGGGAGACAGAGATCTGCCATCTGCTGGTTCACTCTCCAGCCAGCTGGCAGGGGCTGAAGCACTTGGGTCATCTTCTGCTGCTTTCCCAGGCACATTAGCAGGGAGCTTACTCAGAAGTGGAACAGTCAGGACTTGAATTGGCACTCATATGGGATGCTAGCATTGCAGGCGACAACTTAACCCACTATGCCACAACACCAGATGATCTGCTTTTCAAACAAATTTTTAATTAAAAAATTGAAAATGCACTTCACAAAAGATTATATCTAAATGGCTAATGAACATACAGGTATTTCAAAGTTTATGGAAAAGGGAATTAAAAGATGAATTCAGGAGCCAGCATCATGATGCAATGGTTAAGCCACCACTTGCGATGCTGGCATCCTATATTGGAGCACTGGTTCAACTCCCAGCTATTCTTTCCAATCCAGCTTCCTGCTAACGTGTCTGGGAAGGCAGCAGTTGGTGGCCCAGGTGCTTGGGCTCCTGCATCCACGTGGGAGGCATAGATGGAGTTTCAGGCTCTGGCTTCAGCCTGGCCCAGCCCTGGTCATCGCGGTCATTTGTGGAGTGAACCAGAGTATGGATGATCTCTCTTTGTAACTCTTTCAAATAAATCTTTTAAAAAGAAGGTATATATACCCCATCAGAATGGATTTTTTAAAACTTAAAATATTAAGTAGTATCAAGAATCTCAAGCAAGTAGAAAACTCACTTATGAAGAATCAACTGGTATAACCAGTTTGAAAAACTAGTAATAGCTATTACAGATAAAAATAAAAGCATATCATAAAAACCAGCAGTTCCACTCCAAAGTATATATAAAACAGAAATGGATAATTATATACAAGAATGTTCATGGTAGCATCATTCATAATATCCCAAAACTAGAAAACAAACCAAATGCTTATCAGCAATAGAATGGATGAATAAAGTGGGATATATTCAACAAAAAAATTTATGGCATTGAGAAAATAAAGCACTATGTAACATGATTTTAATATAATAACCTCAATAAAATTTAGAAAAATATACGTATGAATCAGCTTGTAAAAAGTAGAAAACGAGACAAAATTAACCTGTGTCTAAGCAAGAAAGGTGGTTACCCCTGAGGGAGTGTAACCAGAAGGAACTATAGGACGTTTCTGGGGTGCTAGTAATGTTATTATGTGATCTGGGTACTAAGTATAGGAATGACAGCATTGCTTTCATCAATGAGCTGTACATTTATGATTCTGTGCATTCCCCTGTATGTTATACTTCAATAATCTTTAAAAATGTAAAAGCAGCATGTAAAACAGTGGGTCAATTGGCAAAAGCACACACAAAATGTTATTAGATGTTATTGCTAATATGGGCCAGTGTTATGGTGGAGCAGTAAAGCCAGTAAAGCTACTGCCTGTGACTCCAGCATCCCATATGAGTGGAGGTTCAAGTCCCAGCTCTGATTCAGCTCTCTGCCTGGGAAAGCAGTGGAAGAGGGCCCAAGCGTTTGGGCCCCTGCCACTCACGTGGAAGAAGCTCCTGGCTCCTGGCTTCCTTCTGGCCCAGCCTTAACTGTTGTGACCATTTGGGGAGTGAACCAGCAGATGAAAGCTCTCTCTGTAATTGTGCCAAATCTTTTTAAAAAAGAACTTATTGCTGAGAGTTGGGGCTTGCAGAAATCTTGCTTATTCCTTCATATGTTGCTTTTGGTTTCTACAATGAATTCACACTTTTTAAAATTCATAAATGCAATTACATATATGCCTTTTTAAAGGTTTTTCTTTTCATTTTCCCCATCCATGTCAGCATGACCCCCATCGTACCATAGCTAAGTTCTATTAAAAATGTGGGCCCTTCCATGTATTTCTGTACTTCTAAAATCCTTTACAGATTTAGATATATACACATATAGTGAGGGTGCTTTTTGATGATTGTTTCAGACACACCCAAAAACAAGTAGAGATACTATCCACATGCCTTCATATATTTCTATTTGAATTAAATTATAATATAGACTATACCATTTTTATGATGGGAACAATTAACCTGCTTTTATTTGGAGAAAAATACAGAGCTCCCCTTAGCCACATCCTGGCTAGTTCTAGCCTTGGAACTGCCAGCAGTGCTCACCTCCCACGCAGAGAATCCCCACAGCCGCTGGGGTCAGCCTTGCTTGGGGTCAAACCAAGATAGGAAGGCCTGGGGAGATGCTGCTGATGTCTGCGCGAGCCCTTTAAAAACAGGCAGCCCATCTGAAGAGGGAAAGCACTACATCATGCCCGATTTCTGTAACTATCCAGGACCTTCCCCTTTTATTCCCCGGGATGACTTCTGATTGTGTGTTCACGTGTGGACCAGCACTCTTTGGATTGCTAACCTCCAGGCTTCCAAACAAGCTGGCCACCCTGCTCAGGACATCCCTAATACATTCAGGGGAGAGCACCTAGGGCGCTTCACAGAGGAGGATTTTTCGACGTAGCTCCTCTGGTGAACCTAATTCCTTGGTATCTTCTCGAAGTGCCAAGGTGAACCTCTAAGCCCCCTAATGGCTGGCCTTGGCTTCCATTTCCACCAAGGAGATTGAATCTTGGCGCCCAAACTCCGTCTTCTCTGGGGGGCAGAACTAGAGTCACCGGGACGCAGGTGACAGCATTCCTGCCGCGACCCTGCTCCCCACCTCTGGCCTCCCGGGAACGAATGGCCCGGAAGAACTGCGCGTCGCAGCGTGATTTCCTGCAGAGCCCCAGTCGGATAAAATTAGCCCATGGCTGACAGCTAACAAGCGTTAGGGTCCGGGTGCAGGGAAAGGGACCGCCCAGCTGAGCCCACCGCTCTGCCGCCCGCCCCGGGCATTCGTACCCGGGACTAGCAAACACCTGTTGTGCGCCCCGCGCCGGGAACAGGGCCTCTCACTCTCTCCTCTCCCGCCCAACGCGGCGACCCCATCGTGGGAACAGGGACCCGGCTAGAGATCTGCAGGGGCTGCACTCTCTTCACACCCACCCTGTCCTGCGGCGTAGCTACTGGGCCTGGGACGCCAATCGCGACCACGTCCCACCAGACCTGCTTCTCCTGCAGCCGGACCAGGTGGGCAGGGGCGCCGGAGTCGGAGGGGGCTCCAGCCACTTTCCCGTCTGCTAGCAGCTGAGATCCGGGAAACCGCGCCTCGGGAAGGCTTCTGCCCCGGTACGCAGCGGGAACACGGCCCGCCCCGGGCTCCCGCACTTTTCCGTGCAGGGCAGTGTGCCGGAAGGAGGGCGGGGGCACCCAGGCTCCGGCCCTGACGACCGTTGCGCCAGCCGGACGGACAGCAGCTCCGGGCCCCAGCTCCGCGGTCTGCAGCGGCTACGCTCACTCGGGAGCTCTCGCGGTGATGCGAGCGGGACCCGTCGAGAACTCCCGGCGAACCGCGACCCTCGGCCCTTTTGCTCGGGTCCCACAGGCCACTGCCTGCAAAGGACTCACGCAAGACACACGCGGCAATCAGAGGCCCGCGGGTGGGAACAACCCCAGGAAACGCAAACGCCGGGGCAGGCGTCGTCCTCCGCCTTCCTCTCCAACTTCCAGCCCTGGGCCCGCCCTGCAGGGCTGCCTCCTCCTCCACGCAGCCCAGCCCAGGGAGAGCGGCTGCTGCCAAACACTTCGCTCAGCCCTCAACATCCCCATTCTCCCTGAAACTGTCCCAGAACAGGGGTCACCCCTGGGAATGCTAACAAGGACACAAGTGACTTGAAGAGCTGCCTCCTGTATTTAACTCACCATCCCACCCTCCCGCACCCTGCTGTTGCAGTTCTGGGGTCACTTGGGTCTGAGTCATGAGATTCTTTTCACCCGATTCTTCAAGAACAGCCCAGGTCGGCCGGCTGGCGCTGCGGCTCAATAGACTAATCCTCCGCCTGCGGCGCCGGCACCACGGGTTCTAGTCCCAGTCGAGGCGTCTGTTCAGGTTGCCCTTTTTCCAGGCCAGCTCTCTGCTGTGACCCGGGAAGGCAGTGGAGGATGGCCCAAGTGTTTGGGCCCTGCACCTGCATGGTAGACCAGGAGAGGCTCCTGGCTTCGGATCAGCACAGTGCTCCGGCCGCGGCCACCTTTGGGGGGGTGGGGGTGAACCAATGGAAAAGGAAGACCTTTCTCTCTGTCTCTCTCTCTCACTGTCCACTCTTCCTGTCAAAAAAAATAATAATAAGTTAAAAAAAAAAAACAGCCAAGGCCAGCATTACAGCTCTCCCCAGCCCACCACCACCACCAGCACCTGATTAAGGAACAGCATAGCCGCCAGAGTTGCAGCTCTCCAGATCTTCTAATGGTTCACTCCTCAAATGGCCACAAATAGCTGAAGCTGGGCCAGACTGAAACCAGGAGCCAGGAGCTTCATCCGGGTCTTCCGCCATGGGTGCAGGGGCCCAAACGTTTGAGCCATCTCCCACTGCCCTCCCAGGTGCCTTAGCTCAGAAGTACAGTAGCTGGGACCAATCTGCGGACTGCCAGCACAATGGGCTGAAGCTTACCTGTTTGACCACAATGCCTGCCAGAAACAGCACAGGCTTCAGAAACAGCACAAGGCTCAATGGTAACAGCTTTCTTCACTGGATTCTTAAGGCCAGCACAGCCGCAGCTCTCTTCGCGAGATTATTCAGGGACAGCACAGCACTCAGTGTTTTGTTTTGTTTTGTTTTGCCTTGTTTTGACAGTCAGAGTGGATAGTGAGAGAGACAGAGAGAAAGGTCTTCCTTTGCCATTGGTTCACCCTCCAATGGCCGCCGCGGCTGGAGCACTGCGACCGGCGTACCGCGCTGATCCCAAGCCAGGAGCCCGGTGCTTTTCCTGGTCTCCCATGGGGTGCAGGGCCCAAGCACTTGGGCCATCCTCCACTGCCTTCCCGGGCCACAGCAGAGAGCTGGCCTGGAAAAGGGGAAACCTGGACAGAATCCGGCGCCCCAACTGGGACTAGAACCCGGTGTGCCGGCACCGCTAGGTGGAGGATTAGCCTATTGAGTGGCGGCGCCGGCCAGCACTCAGTGTTACATCTCTCTTCTTCCAATGGACCACAGCTTCTCTCTGCCAGACGCTCTTCTCCACAGGGATGTCTTGTGACCAAGGCGAATAAGGTACAATGGCACCAGGAAGGACACCTGGAAGGGCTGCTCGCCCAGAACTAACTCTCAAGACTGGCTCAAACTTCCATGTGCTTCTAAAGCAGGAAGTACTCCCTGATTGGTCAAGGTGTATGTTAATGAGATATTGCACTTGAACCAGTGAGGGAACAGACATAGGAGTAGCCTGTTTTGAATGCAGATTGCAGAGTTCTCGATCTCCAGAGGGCTGCACTCCGCTGATACGAAGACAGGATCCACGAACTTCTTCCAGGTCTCCCACACGGGTGCAGGGGCCCAAGGACTTAGGCCATCTTCTACTGCTTTCCCAGGCCATAGCAGAGAGCTGGATCAGAAGAGGAGCAACCGGGACTAGAACCGGCACCCATATGGGATTCTGGCACTTCAGGCCAGGGCTTTAACTTACTATGCCACAGCACCAGCCCCATGATTGCAGAGTTCTCAATCAGGTCTGCTGAGCAGATACAACAACATCTGAATTACATTGTACGTGTTTCTCCCCTCTCCCCGGGCATCCCATCCGGGCTCCTGAAGGGTAACATCAGGTATGTTTTTTCTTTCCCTTTCTAGGGGCTCCTGGAGTCCCTATCACCATTCTGCACAGACTTGTGGCCTTCAGTAGCTGGGCGAGGGGGGTGAAGGAGGGACCGTGGTGACCCCCTCCACCATCTTCCCAACCATACACACACAGACACACTCACATGCACCGCTGCCAAGGTGGAGTCTTCTGGGGAGGGGGCGGCAGCATTGCAGAGCCCCCACCTTAGGGCCTTGCAAAGGGGCATCTGCCAGCTACCTGCCTCTTCTTAGCTACCCACCCCCCCCCCCCACACACACACACAGCCACTCCCTTCCTCTCCCAGTGCTATGCACCACAGTGAGCCTATCTGGACACAGGCCCCTTCACAAACCCTGCGTGGGCAAGTACAGCTCACGGATGCTCCCACATTCCTCATCACTCTTGACCCTCTGCAACCCTGGGAGGCAGCCGTGCTTTTCCCATTTTACGGATGGCAGAATTGGGGCCCAGAGGGGAATGGAAGGTCTTCAACCCCTTCTCCAAGGCCTTTCCACCTCACTTCACAGAAAGCAGGAAAGTGAACAGATCTCCCCCTGGCTCTCAGAAAGCCACTTGCTGCTCCTGGAGTCAGTAACAGGGACTCCAGGGGTCCCTGGAAAGGAAAGAAAAAGGCAGGGAAAAAACACACATGACGCAACTCTCCAGGAGCCCTGAGGGAGGGTAGACGGGGAAGCACATGCAATGTAACATTCAGATACTGTGGAGTTTGCCCAGTGGACCTGACTGAGCATGCACGCTGCACACTTCTGTGCAAAACAGGCCACTCCAATGTCAGTTCCCTGATTGGTTCGTGTCTCATGTCTCATTAGTGTGCATTTTCAGTTCCCTGATCGGCTTGCATAACATCCCCCCTTAGCACATACTTTCCTTTACCTGATTGGTTGTTATTTCTGCTTTCTGATTCATTGTTGTTATGGCATCTTGACTGGTTGCTATTTTGCCCTCCACTCATTGGTTAACTCTGTGCTCACTTCTCAGAAAGGGGCCAATCAGAAAGAGCCACTTTGTCTATAAAAGAACCAGCACTTGCAAGCTTCTCTGGCAACTCCGGCTTGGATTCCCCTTCTTCATGGCTGTGGTGGGAGGTAGTTTGCTTTCAATAAATCTTGCTTTGCTTCCTTGTCACTGTGTGGAAATTCTCCTTTGCCATGAGACAAAATCCTGCAGTAATTCTTTATATCCGCAAGGGAACTTGGGGCTACCTAGCAATCCTCATCCCTCCGTAGCACGAGTTTCTGGTGGAGTCTAACTTCCTAGACCCAGTAAGTCCTAGCCTAATCCTTTCCCTCTACATGAGTAATTTCCACATCCAAGTCCAGTCAGTCCTTGCTTATCACCTGTCAACTACAACAGCTGGGCCCCAAGAGCTGGGATGGGCAGGTATCAGGGAAAGTCAATTTCCACACAAAGCTAGTTCCAGGTGAGGAGTCTGGATTCACTGGCTGTGACTAGTAAACTCCAGAAGCACTTTAACATTATGTTGATAAAGTACAGGAGCATTTTTTGTTTTATTTGAGAGGCAGAGTTACCGATGGAGAGAAAGGGAGAGACAGAGGCAGAAGTCCCCCCTCTGCTGGTTCACTCCCCAAATGGCCACAATGGCCAGAGCTGAGCCGATCCGAAGCCAGGAGCTTCCTCCGGGTCTCCCCACAGGTGCAGGGGCCGAAGGTCTTGGGCCATCTTCTACTGCTTTCGAGGCCACAGCAGAGACCAAGATCGGAGGTGGAGCAGCCGGGACTCAAACCAGTGCCCATATGGGGTGGTGGCACTGCAGGTGGCGGCTTCACCTGCTGTGCCACAGTGCTGGCCCACATACAGGAGCTTTCAATTAAACTTACCTTCACTAACTTTTTCTATCCCACTGAGTTCTTCATAGTCCCGGTGAACAGTTCAGGGTTGTCCTACCAGGAGGCAACCAAAGCCCCAAGGAAGACCAGAGTTCAAATGGGAGCAAGCTCCCGGCCCCCTGACTTTCAAGCTGCACTCTGAGACTCTTTGGAGAATTCACAGAAAGGGGCCTCGAGCTCCACTAAATATGTGAGAGGACGGCACATTTCTGCGTTTGGGTCTCTCTCCCTTCCCGCAATCAGAATAACGGTTTTCACATTAGGAAAGAGGATGCTGGGGCTGGAGTTGTGGCACAGTAGGTTACGATGTTGTTTGTGGTCAGAGCGCAGGTTCGAGTCTTGGCCGCTCCACTTCTTATCCAGCTCTCTGTTCATGTGCCTGAGAAAGCAGCCGAAGATCCCAAAGTGCTTGGGAGCCTCCCACTGACATGGAAAATCTGGATGGCGTTCTTGGCTCCTGGCTTTGGCCTGACACAGCCCCAGCCATTGTGGCCATTTGGGAAGTGAACCAGCAGATAGAATCTCTCCGAGTGCCTTGGGATTTCTTTTTGTCTCCTATATCCCAGATGACTGCAGAAGAAGCCAGCAGCCCAGAACATCGCTGAAAAAAAAAAAATCGTGCTCTCTGTAGCCAAAGAAGCAGGAAAGGGGCTGCCTAGCCAGACAGAACATTGTTACATGATAAGCGCTCTACTCCAGTCAAACACACTGGAAAGAACTGTGGTCCCAGCTCCCACCCCAGCCAGCAGAGGGAAGGGTCCAGATGTCCACCGTCATCCTACTCCAACAAAGCTGCCCTCCTCCCTGTCACCAGGATGGCCTCACACGGGCCATGTAGGGAGCCCAGAGGCTCATCCCAGCCAGCAACAGGCATCCTGCCCCCAGCAGCAGCTCCGGTGTCATGGGAGGCCCAGGCAGGTGCTTTTACACCCACTTCCACCCAGCAGTAATGAGGAGCTCTTCAACACCAACGGAGACCCTGTGGGGAACCTGCACTTCCACCTTCACACCTTGATGTGGCGCTAAGTGAGACAATGCATCCCTTCTCCCCCTGCCGTGCTGTTGGAAGAGGCCTGCTGGGGACGGCAAAGGGTTAAGCTGCTGCCTACGATGCCAGCATCCCATATTGGATGAGTCCTGCTGCTCCTCTCTCAATCCAGCTCCCACTAATGCATGTGAGAAAGGAGCAGATGATGGTCCAAGTCCTTGGGCCTCCGCCCTCCATGAGGGAGACCCAGATGGAGCTTCTGACTCCTAGCTTTGGGTTGGCTCAGACCTGGCTGCTGTGGCTACTGGAGGCATGAACCAGTGGATACAAGATCTTTCTGTCTCTGTCTCTACTTCTTTCTCCCTCTCTGTCACTCTGCCTTTCACATAAATAAATAAATAAATGAATTTTTTAAATGTGTGTGTATTTATTTTAAAAGGCAGAGATACAGAGAGAAAGAGAGAGAATGAGAGAGAGAGAGAGAGAGAGAGAGAGAGAGTTCTTCCATCAACTGGTTCACTCCCCAAATGGCCACAACAGCCAGGGCTGGGCCAGGCAAAATTTAGGAGCCAGGGGCTTCTTCTGGGTCTCCCACGTGGGTGCAGGGGCCCAAGGACTTGGTCTATTTTCCACTACTTTCCCAGCGGCATTAGCAGGGAGCTGGATAGGAAGTAGAGGAGCCAGGATTCAAACCGGTGCCCATATGGGACGCCGGCACTGCAGGTGGAGGCTTAACCTTCTATGCTGCAGCACCAGCCACACAAATTAATGTTTAAAAAATCAATAAAAGTTACTGAATTTTAATGGCATTAATAGAAAAATAAAAGGAAGGGGCCGGCTAAGGGACCCAAGTACATTATGGTGCATTGGGTTAAGCTGACACTTTAGACTCTCACGTCCCATAGGAGCTTCCAGTCCAGGTCCTTACTAATGAGCCTGGAAAGCAGTGGAAGACAGTCCAGGTACCTAGGCTCCTTCCTCCCCATATAAGAGATCAGGATGGAATTTCTGGCTCCTGGCTCTGGCCTGGCCCAGCCCTGGCTGTTTCAAACATTTTGGGAGTGAACCAACAAATAGAAGATATCTCCCCGATCCCCATTTCAAACAAATATACCTTTAAAAAAAGAAGAAGAAATTTAAGATTCAGTGTTTTACCATATATTACTCAAAATGTCCAGGTCCAATAAAAAAGCATTGGACTAGAACCAGAAAAATAGCTTGCGTGAAAAAGGACAGCTGATGTCATCAGTGAGTTGACACAGACATTGGAATTACCTGACAAAGAACTTAAGGCAACCATCGTAAAAATGCTTCAAAGGGGATTTATGAGTACTTGAGAAATTAGAAAGTTTCAGTAAATAAATAGAAGATTTAAAAATAAGACCAAATAGAAATTTTAAAACTGAAAAGCAAAATAAGCAAATGGAAATAAACCTCAGTGGGTAGCCACCACAGCAGAATAGAGATGACTGAGGAAAGAATCAGAAATTGAGGATTGAACAATAGAAATTATCCAGTTGGAACAAGAAAAAGAAATACTGAAAATAAAAATAAAATAAAATTTTAATAAAAATTTAAAAATAAAATGGTTGAAAACCACCCAAATTTGGCAAAAGACATAATCCTGAAAATTTAAGAAGCTGAGCAGGGGCTGGCATTGTGGTTAAAGCCACCATCTGCAGTGCTGGCATCCCAAAAGGGTGCTGGTGTGGGTCCTGGCGGCTCCACTTCTAATCCAGCTCCCTGTCTCTTCCTCTCTCTGTAACTCCGACTTCCAAATCAAATAAAGTCCATCTTTTTTTAAAAAAAAATATTTATTTATTTATTTATTTGAAAGTCAGAGTTACTCAGAGAGAGAAGGAGAGGTGGGGCTGGGGGAGCTCTTCCATCCGCCGGTTCACTCCCCAGATGGCCACAACAGCTGGAGCTGCGCCAATCCAAAGCCAGGAGCCAGGAGCTTCTTCCAGGTCTCCCTCATGGGTGCAGGGGCCCAAGGACTTGGGCCATCCTCTTCTGCTTTCCCAGGCCATAGCAGAGAGCTGGATCGGAAGTGGAGCAGCCAGGACTCGAACCAGCGCCCATATGGGATGCCGGCACTGCAGGCGGCAGCTTTACTCTCTACGCAACAGCGCCAGCCCCCAATAATTAATTTTTAAAGCTTTAAAAACTAAAAGATAGTATTTATGGATGATTTCACTATGAAGAAATGTTAAGTGTTTGAAGGGATAAATATATTTACCCTGATTTGAAATTACACAATGTATACATGTAATAGAATATCACATAGTGCCCCAGAAAGAAGCACAATTTTAATGTCTTTTAAATTTTTTTCATTTAAAAGCATAAAAAAGAACACACTATTTATTAAAA